AACACCAATGTTGCATAAAATGGCTTATATGATAATATATTGTTCGAGTTTGGTTTACCCTGTCAAGGATAATGCCTTTTCTTGAGCCCAAGGATGCACAAACTAGAGATTGCAAATTTGAGTTATTAAAAACTAGGACAAAGATTTTAAGACCAGAATGATTACGCAAATTCATGATCATACTCACAACCCGCTATAAGAATCTCAACCTTCTATCCCGACAACAGGAACAAAGTTTAGTTAAGACAAACAATCTCATCACTGTCACTTTCTCATTGCAGCGGGATATATCCAGTACAGGCCTTGAATTCCAATAGGAACCCCAAATAAAGTCATCTAATGCCATTTAGGCATAGCTGAGGCCGAGTATAGAAAACTCAGCAAGAGATGGACTCTACGTATGATTGAGGGTGGGCAATTACACCTTAACAAGTTTTGGAAAGAACTATTTGTTCCCATGTCAATTTGAAACGTTTACCCCTCAAAATTGAAGACTAGCGGTCAACACTTGAGAAAATGAAGGAAAGAAAGACATAAAGTGAGCTATACGGAACTACTTGAAAAAGCTTATTTGGTAAGAATCAAAGCAATTTTAAGATTTCATATTCAGTAATTTCTCTTTAGACATGCTTAATCAGTAATATCTTGATACAAAGTTGCAAAATAAAAACATAAAGAGTTACACATTAATTGTCCAACTGGCCAAAGGTCCTAGATCTGCCCCTGAAAACAGCTTAAGATGAGTTTACATCTGAAGTTTCATGCACCCTGTAGTTATCAAAAGCTAATGCAGACAGCTAACCAACCAAAACCAAGGATCTTTTGCTAGGGAGCCAATCTACGTTGTTATGCTTTTTAACTGGAATATCGTAATCATATATCCAGAAAAAAAAAGAGGTGAAGTTACAATATGTTCGGATTTGTCTTACCAGCTCTACCTCATTTTCTCCTGTAAAAGTCTCTCTTTTTCAAGATTATGCTGCTATAGCATTATCAAACAGGAATTGTTTTCCCCTAACTTCATCCAGTGAGGATAAAGTTTCAATGCTCAATGCATTAATAGGTGCGAGTAACTTAGTAATTTAACTTCCATATAACCCCAAAACAAGTGACATTTCAGTACCAACAAATTACAATGAATTTTTATTATTATCGCCAAATCCAAAGTACTCGTCCTTAAATCAATAAATATTAATGCCCATCAAATCAAGTATCAGAGAAATTCAAAAGCAAATAATCTAGTGTGTGTATGTGTGTGTATATATATATAACCTAACCCAAAAGCCAGTAATAAATCCAGAAAAAATCAACCAGGGGAAGCAAAATAAAGAAATTTTGCAACACTCACCAAGTTTGAAACTTTATAAAACACAACAGTTAGATACTAGGGGAAAAAAAAAGACAAATAAATCATCGGATGTTTTTACATGACTATAAACACATAATCACATAGCAATTTCAAAGATAAAAAACAAGTAAAAGATGACTTACCCGAAATAATGCTAATTTCCTGATTTACAAACTGAGAACAGTGGGAAAATTAGAACAAGGTAAAAAGAAGGAGAAAAAAAATAGGGCGTACTTCGAATTGTTGAAGAAAATAGAGGAATCTACAAAGGAGCTGTTTGGTGTTCACAAGCTTTTGGGGCGCGTGGAAGGAAGGTTAATTTTGGGTTTTGAGAAAAACTTTGCTGTAAGGAGTGGGCTGCTTTTACATATAGTCCGGACAGCCCATTTACAAGAGGAAAATATTTTTTGGCGGATGATACAGTTACCCACAAAAATAAAATTATTTACCATTACCTATCCATTTATTTTTATACCTATCAAACTAATTATATTTTCTACCCATAGTAATTTTTATGGAGAATTTTCTCTTTTTTCTCCAATTTTTTTTATTTCTATGCTTCTTTTCTTTTTTCTTTTTTTCTTTCTTTTCTCCTTTTCTTTTTTCTCGTTTTCTTCTTATTTTTTATATTTTTCTCTTTTATTCATTTATTTTTGCCCAGAGCGTATTATTGTTATTTTTACCATAACTTATTTCACACTCAAATTTGACTCCTTTATTTTTTTTTCTTTATTTCTTGTTCCTTTTCTAATTACACGTGATTGCCATGCAAACCTTGATCTCCTTCCCTATAAAGATCATTACACACTTTATCATTAGCATTAACACAGTCAATTATGGATCAAGAAAATATAATCTACGGCCGCTAAGTCTCCATATATACTAGTTAGAATAGAAATGATAATAAAATATTAGAAAATGCAATAAAAATATAAGTAGCAAAAAAGACTTCTAGTACTATATGATACCAATATGGTATACATGTATACCAATAGAGTATATGATTGCTCTTGAATATTGCTACAACTATCTGCGACTATACTACTGTACCAAAATATTAAAGGATGCAATAAAAGTATGAGAAAATTAGACGCTCACATTGCAAGCTAAATATTCGCAAAGCAACTTGCTCATTCCGTATACTAATAGGGTATATAGTAGTATATGGTCGTTCCAACAATTGCCTATAGCTATAAAAATTATTACATAATACACATAATCTATGTCCATCGGTACAAAAAAATTCCAGCACTGCAAATCATGTTCATATAAATAATTTCAGAATAGAATCCACTTAAAAATGCAGTTAAAATAACCAAAAAAATGTTCAAACTACCATATGATACCAATATGGCATATAACTATACCAACATGGTATACAATTTTACTTGTTAATTCTCGGCAACTATATGACTATACTATTTTTACATAACACATATGCATATAGAGAAAAATAAAAAATAGTGTACCACATATTAATATAATAAAGTATTTCAAGATATTGTACTATATTACTATTATTAAAAGAAAATCAAATAGTGTACCAATTAAATACAGCTAATATAACCAAAAAAAGAATTCAACTAGCATATGATACCAATATAGTATATAGCTATACTAATAGGGTATATAGTTTTAAGGGGTCGTTCCAACAACTGCATATAACTATAAAAACTATTACATAATACACAAAATCTATGTCCATAGGTACAAGAAAATTCAACACAACAAAACATGATCATATAAACCATTTCAGAATAGAATTCACTTAAAAATGCAGCCAAAACAATCAAAAAATATTCTAACTACCATATGATACCACTATGACATAGAATTATACCAATAGGGTATACGGTTCTACCAATTAATTCCAGGCAACTATATATGACTATACTACAATTACATAATACACATGCACAATGAGAAATCAAAAAATAGTGTACCACATATTAATATAATAATATATTTCAAGATATTATACTATAATACTATTATATAAAACAAACGCATAAAGAAAAAATCAAAATAATTACATAATACATATGTATAAATGAAAATTAAAAAAATCAAGATATTGTACTATTTTACTATTACTAAAGAAAAATCAAATAGTGTACCAATTAAATGTAGCTAATACAACCAAAAAAGGTTCCAACTAACATATGATACCAGTATAGTATATAGATATACCAACAGGGTATACAGTTGTACGCAAAGAGTTTAAAAAATATTTTTTTAATTTAATTATTAAACTGAATTAATATCAGTTGTCACATAATCTAATTAATTCAATTTTGTGCGTCATCGATTATACTAAAACTTAGATATGTTATAATAATATACTATATACTATTTTGAAATGGAGAATAAATTAATAAAAAATATTCAATGGACACATAGATCCTATTATGAAATGAGAAAGATAGAAGAAAAATGTTTATTTATATTTGAGAAGACAATAAAAGAGAAAATCATATTTGAGAGATTTGTATGTTAATTGAATATTATTTATTTGAAAGAAAAACTCATCAATGCTAAAATAGAGGTCAATTGTCGTACGACCTATAGGTGGATATAATCTGCCATAAAGAAGAAGAAGTTTGCTAAATTCATATCTCGTGCTTACATGTAATGATTACCAAAACAGAAAGAATCTCAACAAATGGATCTCGCGGCTTAAGTGGGGTTTGGGTGGGCGGGTAATTTATTTTGGTCGTATAGGTATTTTATGTAATTATTTTAAAGATGGGTAGAAACGGGGTAATATAATAGGCCCAAGTAGGTATTTTGTGTAGTTCCCTCAATATTTTTAGAGATCATTTGCTTAGTTTTTTTTATATCAAAATTTACCTTTAAGATATTTATATTTTTGGAATATTTTCATTTATATTTTTTAAAACAAATGTTGATTGGTTAAACAAAATTTTTTACTTTTTTATTAAAAACATTCAAAAAGTTTCTTATCCAAAGAGGTTTCGCACACTTAATTATTTCCGAAAATGAAACTAATGTCGATTAACTTAGAAGAAAATGAAACTCAAACAATTAGAAAAATATTAGTGATGTTCAGAATAATAGCAGATTATGGAAAGTAAGGAGAAAAAACCTCTCAAATTATGTTTTGTATTATCGAAAGAGAATTTCAGGTTATGAACAAAATAAAATTGGAACCACAAGTAACCCCAAATTGAAGAAGTAGCAACCATTTTTACAATAGTACAAAACTTATTTCGAGTAAAAATTAGAAGACCTATTTCCATAAAACCTATTTAAACATTAATCTAAAAAACTAGCACATATCAAATCCTAAATAATTTAAATTTTCTACTTCAACTTTAAATAGTCTTCAACACAAATGACACCCCTATTCATTTTAGGAAAAATACCCCCCCC